CCCCATAACTCTTTGTTGTCTTCACCACTTTCTGAAACCAATAGTCCGTTAGAACCCTATCGGAATAACGTATCCAATTCATTATCCCATTAGAGTTTCTGACTACGTTTCAGGGGGCTAAGTGTAATTATCGATACCACAGGGACCTTACAGTTATTTAAGCTTACCTCAGGGGGGTGTGTGTAATTTACCCTTTTTTTTACAATGAAATATTTATTACAAGATTTTTTGACTTTCATATCAGATGACAAACAGATTATGTAATTTTTTTTAGGAAATAAAATTATATTAAGATAAATTGATTAATTCCTGAGGAAGTTAAGGACCTTCCATGCAATTAAATCTTAATTTATTTCTCAAAAAAAGTGAATTTCTGCTCTTTTTGACCTTCGAAAATGTTTTTCTCTCGTAAAAATATTATTCACTTACGGTGGACATGGTGAGATTTCCCGTGAAAAGGGAGGGATTTTTTTTTTATAAATATTTTAATTAGTTTAGTGGTAGATGGTTTATAAATATTGAAAAATATAGGTAAAAGAAGAAAAAGAGTGTAAAATTGGAAAAATATTTAATTTGGTGGTGAAATAAGATATTTTGAGGGTGTAAATAACACGTCTCATTTAAAATGGCCCTGTCAACTTACACGATTTATATATTCTCCACCCCAACATTATTATAACTTATATAATTAGCTAATAGTCAAGTAACATGACGTTAATTATGTTGAAAAGAGTGTAATAATAATCAGCCGTCTTAGCTCAGCTGGTAGAGCGCGTGGCTTTTAACCACGTGGTCGTGGGTTCGATTCCCACAGACGGCGTTTTTTGTTTTTTTTTTGGGTTCAATGTTGCCTCAGGCCCAACCCAAACCTCAGGCCCAACCCAAATAAGCCATACTTTAAGTCCCAATGTATAGACAATGTTGCCTCAGGCCCAATATGAATTTTAGAAATGAAAATGGGCGTATCTGTGTGAGACTGTGAGTGTGTTATCTAGTTTTTCCATGATTATGGCGCTTCAATTGCAATGCAACGCATATAATTTGCATTTCCCTACCCACCCATCTCTTCCGTCCACTAAAATCTTCTCTGCAGCGGCGACACCTCTAACAAGTAGTAGAAGAGCTCTGTCGCTCTTTGCAATCACCGGAATCGGATTATCCAATTTTGGTAGCAGCAGTTCAATTTGCAGTTGGTATGTTTCAGATTTTGTTGATCTCCCAAATTCTGGTGGTGTCAAAGCCTTGGAGCTTCGAATCGGCGATGGGGAAACTCCCTTGAACGGCGACAAGGTTTATTCAACTACCTCGTTACTTGTTTTTTAATAATCTGTTCTTTGCAATTGAAGTAATTTGATGTTTGTTGCTTTTTGGGGTGGGTAAACAAAGGTCATAATACACTACTATGGAAGATTGGCAGCAAAGCAAGGATGGCGCTTCGATTCCACTTATGATCATAAAGATGCAAATGGAGAACCGGTTCCTTTTGAGTTTGTTCTTGGTTCAGGAAAAGTAATTCTCTCTCGTCTTTTATTTTCTTCAATGTTTACTCATCTGCCATTGTTTGATTGATTGATTGATTGCTTTATGTTCATATAACATGTAATTTATGCCAACCAACCAATATAGTTCCTGAGGTTGAATTTCACATGTTTTGGCTGAATTAGGGAAAAAGGATTATGTATTTCTATTTAGTTGGAGTCAAGTGTGCGTCATCTCTTTCTTATTTGTTGATATTTGTCCTTCTTTCTTCAGTATTTACCTTGAGAGAATTGAACACAAAAGGAAGAAGAAGCTATTCCTATGTTGTAACACTTGAAAGAGACTAGTAACATACATACATACATGTCTTTCTTGAAATATATCATAGCTGTCATCTCCTTATCGAACTCATACCTAGTACATGGACTGATCAATTCAAATTTTTTGATGAGATAAAAAGGCCTTCTTTCATATTCGACAGCAGAAAATATGACAAGTTTCTGAATACGTTCAGCTAAAGTTGAGCAACGCTGAGAAAGATATACATGTTTTTTCAGTTTTATGTATCTATGTTCTGAAGGTAGGCTATTATATATTCTGCATTCATACAAACTTATATGTACATGTAATAAATTAGGTCATATCTGGAATTGAATCAGCTGTGAGATCAATGAAAGTAGGTGGCATTCGCAGAGTTGTTATCCCTCCATCTGAAGGATATCAAAATACATCTCAAGAACCCATCCCACCTAATGTATGTAATTTTATCTTTGAGTAACTTTGTATTTGCTTTATGATCTGTCTGATGTTAAATTGTTTATGCCGTATACCATTTCCAGCAGTTAAATTCAATTACTGCTAATCTACGAATTTGAGAAATGAAATAATGTCGGATGCCCACATATTTTGCATAAACTACTACTACCATAGAGCAAATGGTTAAAATTTGAGAAACTTAAGTGAAACATGGGAATGAGAAGTAAGTACATAACGTGAGGAGTTTTTGTAAAATATGTAAATTAGGAGGAAGTTTGTTGAAGGTTTCTAAGTTCCATGAAAACTACCTAAGCCAAAACTTGAGAATTAAGATTACTGAGTTATCTTAGGTCTATTTATTTGGCATTCGTACGACAAGATAATAATTAGTTGATCTTTGGTTGGTTTGCAGTTTTTTGACAGACAGAGGTTATTCACTACAATATTCAATCCAACACGTCTAGCCAATGGAGAAGGCTCAACCTTAGGGATAATCATCTTCGATATTGAGCTGCTCAGCCTCAGGCGTCACTGAGTTTCCAACTTTTCTGCAATCTTTTTCATCCCTAAGCAATTATATTGTGGGCACAAATTTACATCACTTGTTTTCTTAACAATGATAATTGTTATTGAATACTGTATAATATGTTACTTGTATATTCTTTTGGACATATTAAAGCACAAACTCTGGACACGGCTAGCTGAAGAATTGCTAGCTTCTTATACATATCTTTCGTTGGAGCAGATGTGCGCAATCATGCAATGCAATCCATCTGTGCTCGGAGTAGTCAAACAAGATAGAGACTGTGTTTAGATTTTCTTAGCCAGTCATAAAATCAACCAGTAATGTGAAAACAGTGTTTTCTGTGGTACATTTACTTCAGCATACAAGGAATTTGACTATTAGATGGAAAATCTAATCCGGGTTTCTAAGAGTGTTTGGCTTGTATTTTCATCTTTAAAGATTACTGTGGGTTTGTTTACACATATTTTATTAACTGTAAAGAGGAAAATAGTTGTGAAAAAAATTTCACTTTTTGGTCCATCTTATTTTGCATTCTAGTTGACGAACTTGATCAAATCGTTAATGACGGCTGACGTGTACAAGGATCGTTTCTCTTAGAGTAGAGGATCCGGCAAAACCTTGCACAGATCCCAAGTCCTCCAGTCCGTTGGAGTTGGCGGAGGCCGCTCCTAATTTGGCAATTGCTTTCAAGTACATGGTTGCCACGTCGGTTAGGACTTTTAGGGCCGATTTTTGGGCCCCCTTAAAGCGCATCGATTGGCAAATTTGGGCCACCGCAACCCGTGCGGAGGAGGATAACGGAGCGGCCTCATCATCATCATCATCGTCGTCGTCTCGATTGTTGTTGTCCATCTGCTGCAGCACTGATTTTCTCATGAATTCCTTTTCGTTTTATTTAACATCACCACTGACTGCACCTGCACTGCACACACACGACTAAGGGCTTTGTTGTCCTTTTTCATCTTAATAGAGAACTAAATTCGAACTTCATGGCATGTTGAGATATGAACATCCGGAACTACATAGATTTGCCATTGGGTTGGGCCGTCGATTTTGGTGTGCTATTACACACTCTATATACATACAAATCGTTTTTTGCCACCTTAAAACCTTGAATGACTTGTTAATATTTTATATTTATTATGTAAATAGCAAATTACATAACGACAAATAATTATTATAGATACTATGAAAAATAACAACTCCAATTTCAGTATGCCACAAGCAAAACACACATGCTTTTGGAGACAACGAAATATGTAGGAAAATTTACATCAAGAACAGCACACAATCGACAACATATATCTGACAAAAACTAGAAAACAAACAACATTCTTTTTTTTTTATTTTCTTAATTCCAAAACAAAAAAAAAAAAGAAAAAGAAAATCACAATAAAATAATATATTATCTATAGATATCGATCAAGCCCATTTAGCCATGAGTGACATCACACCGGCACCCAAAAGAACGGCTACGTAAGACTTGATTTGGAGTTTAATACTTCCCTGTAATTTTGGCCCCATAAAATCAGCAGCCAATAGATCAACCAAAGCCATGTATATATTAGCGTATATATTATATATATTACGTATATTATTATTATTCCTATTTTATTCTAGTTACCTTGTATAATAGGTTACCTTGTGTAGTTAGGATTAGGGTTTCCTACATAATAACTATATATATGATTAATATACGTGAGAGATAATTCATTCTCTCTTTTCTCCAAAACCTAATTCTCCTATATGATATCAGACACTAGGTTAACCTAGCCGTCACCACATCTTCTTCTCTTCTTCTCTTTTTCTCTTCTTCTTCATAGCCGTTGCCCCCCTTCTTCTCCATGGCCGGCGAAGCTTCTCCCTCCACCGTCCCTCTCAATACTTTTCACCTTGCTCATGCCATCTCTAATATTAAATCTCTCATCCCCGTTACCCTAGATCTAAAAAATCCTAATTATCAAAAGTGGAGCCACTTTTTCACAATTATCGTCGGTCGTTTCTGCCTCTCCGACCTTCTACATGGAAACCCCGACCGGATTCGATTTCCGCCGACGAATGGAAACGCGCCGACTATCTCCTCCAATCTTGGATCTACGGCACCATCTCCGACGATCTATCCAGCATGGTTCTCTCAAAAACCTCCACCGCCAGTGACCTATGGACCGCCATCTCTTCTCTCTTCACCGACAACAAAGATTATCGAGCCATTCAACTTGAAGAAAAATTCAAGTCCCTCAAGAAAGGCGCTCTCTCCATTCACGATTATTGCCAAATAATCAAAACCACGACGGACAACTTGGCCGATGTCGGAAATCCAATCTCCGACAAACAACTCGTCCTACAAACCCTACACGGCCTTCCGAAACATTACGGGATCGTCGCCAACCTAATATCCTTTCAGAATCCCCTTCCCACTTTTCTACAGACTCGATCTCTTCTTCAGATGGAAGAAACAAGAGTCGCTGAACCGGAGCAGACCGCTGCTGTTCTCTACGCCTCCAACGCGAACTGTCCATCCAACAGTTGCAACGGTTCCTGCAACAGTTCCCGCAGAGGTAGTTCTTCGCGTTATCAGCACGGGGGTGGCCGATCCAACCGTCGCGGAGGTCGCAACACTAACCGTCACCCTATACAGCACTACGGCTACCATAGTGCCCATGGCGCATCTCAACTCTGGCGCGCACCTTACCGACATCCGTCAATGCTGGGATCCGCTCTAAATACATCGGGCCACTCATCCACTACAGCGGCTCAAGCCTACACTGACCACTCGGCTCCTACTCAGGTTCATCCGCAGCAACAACCATGCCACAACACTAACAGTTTCATCAACAGTTGCAACAGTTCCTGCAACAGTGCCAACGTGGTGGATCTCGCAAACCGTTTAAATACGGTGACACTTCAGCAGCCTACCGAGTCACAGTGGTTCATGGACAGCGGGGCGACCTCTCATATGGCACCGCACTCATGTAATTTCAATTTTGTTTTTAATCCTGGCAGTCATTTCCCCAAACATGTCGTCGTCGGTAATGGTTCCACCCTCCCCATAACCCACATAGGCCACACAATTCTTCCAACCACTCCTTTCCGCCTCACAAATGTCTATGTCACACCCAATATCGTGAAACACCTTATCTCTGTTCGAAAGTTCACCCGCGACAACTCATGTTCGGTTGAATTTGACCCGTTTGGTTTTTCTGTGAAGGATCTTCGGAGTCGAGTCGAGATTTTTAGGTGCAATAGCTCCGGTGACCTATATCCATTTAAAATCCCTCCCCCCCCACCTCACATCCCGCTGCTTTCCTCACTATCGCAACACCTTCATCTCGCACTCTTTGGCATCGGCGTCTAGGCCATCCCGACAAACACGTCATGTCTCGTTTATTTTCTAGCACTTTTCTTTCCCATAGTAAAGACCCTGGGGAGTCTCTTTGTAATGCCTGTCAATTAGGCAAACATTTTCCTCTACCTTTTTTTCCTCAAAAATCTACTACTGTTGCCCCATTTCAAATTATTCATGCTGATTTATGGACTTCTCTTGTTTCTAGTTTTACGGGTTTCAAATATTATCTTGTGTTAGTTGATGATTTTACCCATTATTTATGGACTTTTCCTCTTCGAAATAAATCCGATGTTTTTACAACCTTTGTCACTTTTCATACACTTCTCAAAACTCAATTCCAACATCCCCTGAAAGCCTTACAAAGTGATAATGGTCGTGAATTAAAAAATGCGGATTTTCAAAACTACTTCACTAAACACGGCATCCTAAATCGTTTTTCGTGTCCCCACACCTCCCCTCAAAACGGACACGCAGAACGAATGATCCGCACTATAACTAACATGATTCGATCCCTCATCTTTCAAGCTCATCTTCCTCCTACTTATTGGGTCGAAGCCCTTCATATGGCCACACACCTACTCAATATCTTACCTACCAAAACCACACAAAACCGAACTCCTCACGAAGCTCTTTACCTCATCAAACCTACATACTCTCATCTTCGAGTATTCGGCTGTCTCTGTTATCCCAACCTCACCGCCACCACAACACATAAACTCGCCCCCCGTTCTACTCCTTGTGTCTATCTCGGTCACCCTTCCTCTCACAAAGGCTATCGTTGCCTTGATAGATCCACTGACCGAATCATAATTTCTCGTCAAGTTACCTTCGA